AAATTTAAAATTTTTGATGTTAGTCAAATGTATTTAACAGTTAACAGTTAAATTACGTACCAGCCTATGATGATTTTATTGCGTGATATATATCGATATGATGTAATATATAGTATCGATATAGAAACAATATATTAAAAAAAAGCCATCAATTTTGGCAATCGAGTTCAATGAATACAATACGTATAGTTTTTTTTGGCTCAATATATACATATTGATATTAGGTTAATTGATGATTTCGAATTGTTCCAGTCAATCCAATCAAATTGCTTTATATACAGTGTCTTAGATTTTTATACGTATAATAAACGATTACTTTTGATTCAGAAGTCTAACCTTTACCTAGTTGCTGTCTACGTATATACGTATGTATTATTAAGAGTAATAAATGGTTTAAGAGCTAAACGTATACGTAGATCAACAAAGATAGACACTTTTGGGCAAAGATTTTGCCTCTAACTTTATTAATAATTTAAAATTAAATTTGTTATTTGTTTGCGCAATTTAGGTATTTACATTATTGGTCGATCAAATAGTCCAAAAGTATTTACACGTGAGACCTTTTTTTTTTATTTATTTATTAGACTTCCATTTTGTTAACAAATTCGTCAATAATTTGTTTGTCGATTAGAAATTATTATATTAAGAAAGCATCCCGAAACTTTCAGGTTTTACCTCAAAATGCCGAACGTAACATCTTCGAATTCTCAAGTTGAAACAAGTAGTAATTCACTGCCTTCAACCAAGTCCAAAAAGAACAAGAGGAAATCTTTAGCGGTTACTACTTCAAAAGATGTTTCTCCGTCACGTCAAGAGCCACATTCCCCTAATACGCTGGCTCCTGATACTGCGGATGTTAGTCTTGAGAACAGTAACAAAAATCCGTACATTGAAGTTATTAATAAAAGGATCAGGACTTTGAAGAAAAAGATGGTGTGTGTTTTATATTTAGGCCACTTAAATTGTTTAGTAGAGAATTCTTCTATAAGATACATAAATACGATAATGAATAAATCGGTTTTTTTTTTTTGAGAATTAATTTATCATTTATTATAATTGTTTAGACAAGAATTGAGAAATGTGAAGAGATCATCAGATCTAGTCCTGATGGGAAAAGCCAATTGAATAACGATCAGCTGCAATTATATGAGCGAAAGGGTGAGATCGCTGGAGCCTTAAAAGAGTGTGAAGATATTTTGAAACAGGTCGAAAATATTGATAAAGAGGTTAGTCTGTTTATCACAATTATTCATATAAAATTGGTATTTATTTATTATTTTTTAAAAATTAGGAAATCAAAAACCAAAGGATTCTGAAAGAACAACAAGACGAACGCGAAAAAGCTACTGCAAATGCTATTACTGATGAAGTCAAAGTGCCTATCTATATTATTATTAAGATTATGAAATTTAAAGATTGTTGACTTAGTTTATTTTTTCCTCCTATGTTAGGCTACATATTCTCGATCGATCATATGTCTTCTTCAATTCTTTCGACTCGTTCACTTTCAACAAGTCGGTATTGTTCAACTATCACAGGCTGAATCCGAAGCTGTTGAAACTTTTCGTGCTAAACTGACTAATGTTGTAGATGAAGTAAAGGATGATATTAGTGAGCTGCGGATCCAAGAAACTTTGGATAATATTAACAAACTTCAGCATGGTGATGAAAGTACAGTAATCGAACCGTTGACTAACGGTACTAATGATACAAATTGTAAATTGGGATTGGGCGTGCTATCACATGGAATAACTTGTATGTTTAATGTTCACAATGGAACTGCGATGCCCACGTTCGCTAATATAATTTGTTACCTTTTCATTATATAGATTCTCATATTCGCTCGTTAATTCTGAGTCCACCAATATTAGACTCCGTTGAGATACAAACAGAGCAGGAAGAGTCGTACGATACGCGCGAAGTAGTTAATGTTCAAGGGGAAGGGCCAACACATTTTGATGAGAATTTAGGTATGCATTAAAATTTAAATCTATCAAACAAGTTAATTTATATTTGGTTTATATACATTCATATTATCTTAGGTGATATGTATACGATTCCAGTTGGTGGGTTACAGTTTATGTTGCCTCGTGGTATGTTTAATTTTGCATTCGTTGCAATCACTTTTTAATGTAATAAGAATTAATTGCTAAGATTTATTAATACCTTTTTCATCTTCGAGGTGAGCCATCATCTCAGGATATAATTGATCATAATCATACTAGTTATTCATATCCAAATACGGATGTGGATCAGGGTACCCAACTTATTGAAACAACTGCTGATATTCAAGAACAATATCAACAGCAACAGCAACATACTTTTACCGAGCCTTATATGGTTGAACAACAACAACAGCAATATTCTGTAGAACACCAGCATATCACGGAACATCAACCGGAACAAACTGATCAGCAGCAACAAGTTTCTATGAAACAAAAAGAAGAACCATTAGTACAGCAGCAAGAGCCAAATCAAGTTTCTGATAATTCAACTGATGTCCAACAGCAAGTGCTTCAACCAAATGATACTTCCTCTCCACCAACACATTCCAATAATTACAAGGGAAATCATCGCAACAATTACCGAAATCGTGGTGGTTATAGGACACAGGGTGGTCAAGGTTCCAGGAGAGATAATGGCGGTTACAGAGATGGTGGATATCGTGATGGTCGTTACCGTGGCGAGCGTGGTTATTCAAATTCGGGTTCTCGTGGTGGCAGAGGTGGTGGAAACGGATATCAAGGTTGTTAAACATTATATCCTTATATTTTGGTATTACGCATATTATTAATTTATAAACATTGTTTTATTAGGAGGTCAGATAAAGCGGAGATAAGTCACATGCATAGTAGGCTGTCAATTAACTGACGATATTTTTCAACCAACCAAACAATTAAAAATTCTAATCCTATTAAATGATTTTTTTTAAAAAAAAAAAATTTTTGTTTTAATATCTGATTAATATAAAAATCAAATCTCAGTAAAATTTATTCTTTATTAACTTGGCCCCTTTCCTCAGCACCTAGCCTACTATATCGAAAAAATAACTATTAAAAAAAAAAAAAAAAACTTGCACACCACTGACTATCAGATAGTATCTCTGCTATAATGCCCCATGAAAAGACCCGGATACAATTCATGGGTTCATGATCCAGAAGATTTGAAAAAGATCTGGGTATTATTTGACATATAATATATATAATATATATTTATATCTGAAATCTTTATTAATTTAAAATTAAATTATGTAAAGTACTTTTATTATAGTATTCTTTTTCGTAATTATTGGCTGGAAGAGTACTATTCAAGAAATTTGATGGTTTATTGAATAGTATCCAGGATATTATAGTTAGTGGTGCATAATGTTAAAATACAAGAAATCAAAAAACATCAAATTTTAATATGAAAATTTTGAACATAGGACAAATCACATGATTGTAG